CTCAGGTCTAACTGTACCAGAGAACTTAAAGACAGACCTGCAGGACAAGCCTCAGGTCTAACTGTACCAGAGAACTTAAAGACAGACCTGCAGGACAAGTCTCAGGAGTGTGATGAACCATCAGACATTTGGAAAAGGTCAGTAACCATAAATCTGATATTTGTGTGTCTGTCTGCAGTACACAATCCCTGAGCCGTGCAAACAGCTGTGGTGCAGTGACTACAACAACCCATCCTTCTGTAGGACCAAGAAGGGTCCACCACTTGATGGGACTAAGTGTGGACCAGGGAGGGTGAGTTGATAACAGTCTGGTTTGGCTTAGTTCATCCTCAGCATCAGAACACAAGCCCAGACAGGACTGTTGTGTCAATGAAAACTGATGCATGAACTTGGAGTTTGACGTTCTACTTTCACCTCCATAGTAACAATCTCTGGTTGCAGCACTGCTTCAAAGGGTTCTGCATCAAACTGACCCCCAACCTCCTAAAGCAGCATGGCAGCTGGGGGACATGGAGTCCATTTGGCACCTGTTCCCGGACCTGCGGGGGCGGTGTCAGGTTTCGAACCAGACAGTGTGATAACCCACCGTGAGTCAGCTGTCAGTCATCTATGATGCAGCACATCAAAGGCACCAATTAAATGCACTAATCTGTTGTTGTCTTCAGACCAGCCAATGGGGGCCACACCTGCTTTGGAAATAGCTACGAGTTCCAGCTGTGCAGTCAAGGGTCCTGCCCCCTCCTGACAGACTTCAGGTCAGTGGATCTGATGTCCTGGTCTCTAATGGGAAACAGATTTTATAGTGCGTTATCAAGTCCGTCAGACTTCAGAGCACTTTACACTTCAATCATTCATCTACCTGACCCTAAACTAACCTGACAGGTACCAACCTGACCCTAAAACTAACCTCACAGGTACCAACCTGACCCTAAACTAACCTGACAGGTACCAACCTGACCCTAAAACTAACCTCACAGGTACCTACCTGACCCTAAACTAACCTCACAGGTACCTACCTGACCCTAAAACTAACCTCACAGGTACTTACCTGACCCTAAACTAACCTCACAGGTACCTACCTGACCCTAAAACTAACCTCACAGGTACTTACCTGACCCTAAACTAACCTCACAGGTACCTACCTGACCCTAAAACTAACCTCACAGGTACTTACCTGACCCTAAACTAACCTCACAGGTACCTACCTGACCCTAAAACTAAACTAACCTCACAGGTACCTACCTGACCCTAAAACTAAACTAACCTCACAGGTACCTACCTGACCCTA